AGATGAGCATGCAACTCCCCCAGTATAGCGTCACGCTGAAGGAGAACAATTTCAACATCAGCATTAGTCGTAGAGCCAAGCTCATAGCGGATTAATGGAGGAGTGCCCTCCTGCAAGACAATAGCATGCTCCGTAGCCCGAGTAGGGGGTAAACTCGTAGGCATATCAAAAACATCTTTGAACTCATCCAGTAAAGCGGAAATTGGCAGGGGTGTAGGCAAGGTAGAGTTCAACGAAGAATCCACCACCTACAATTGTTTTAGTTCCAAAAAAACCCCTTGTCCCTCATGTTGTAAGTTACGCATCATAGCATGCAAAGATACCTGAGAAGAACAGAGAGAGGGTCGCCTTGCAATTTCACACGGACACCCCCCAAATTGAGCTTCATAGACATGTTACCCCAATTCATCACTGAGTCCCGAGGGATGCTAAGCAAGGAAAACCAAGAATGACATTCGTAGAGTCCAACTTTAAAGGAAAAAAATCAGCAATGACATCCAATTCAGGTAAGTTGAGGCAAACCTGACGGCAGACTCCAGAAGTTCTTACCTCATCGCCATTCCCCATCTGAACTCCAAATTCGTGTGTAGGAGTGCGGGGTAATTTCAATTCTTCCACTAAAGCTTTGGAGATAAAGTTGTGGGATGCACCCGAGTCTATCAATATGACCACCTCACGTGACAAAATGCGTCCACGCACCTTAAGGGAATTGGCCGCACACAATCCAACAAGAGACAAAACACAAAGCACGACTAATTCTGGAGCCGAAGCAATTTCAGTGTCCCCGAAAGTGCTGTCCAAATTAGATGCATCAGAAGTGATTTCCTCCACATCATCTTGAATCCATAACACCTGAAGTGATTTCTGAGCACAACGATGTCCCGGACTATATTTTTCGTCGCAACGGAAGCATAAACCCTTCGCACGTTTCTGATGCATCTCTTTATCGGTCATCTTTTTGAAAGCAGGAGGTGGGGCCTTAATAATAGGGACTGATGAAGAAGAAGGAGGAATCGCAGCACGTGCAGGTCGGGTGACAGAAGAAGTAGTCACTTGCGAAACCCGTGAGTTAAAGTGAGTTCCAGAGGGGAACGTTGTGGGCCCATGAGGAAATAAACTTGATTGATAAGCCCATAAGGCCTGATTCTTCTCCTCAATTTTCAGGGCCGCAACCATTTTCCTGATCAACCCAATGGGTTTCATCTGTCGGAGTTCGGCCTGGATATCTGGGCGCAACCCATTAACAAAGGCTGCTTCAAGGACTGATTCCGACAGGTCACGTAAGGGAGCGGAGAGCACCTCGAATTGGCGACGATATATAAGCCCATAAGGCCTGATTCTTCTCCTCAATTTTCAGGGTCGCAACCATTTTCCTGATCAACCCAATGGGTTTCATCTGTCGGAGTTCGGCCTGGATATCTGGGCGCAACCCATTAACAAAGGCTGCTTCAAGGACTGATTCCGACAGGTCACGTAAGGGAGCGGAGAGCACCTCGAATTGGCGACGATATTCCTTAACAGTAGTGGATTGATGTAATGATAGAAGCTGGTCCTACAAATTTCCCTCCTGAGTCGATCGAAAATGTTCAAGGAGGAGCTCCTTGAATTCTGCCCAACTATGAAATGGTCGCCGACCATCTTCCCAGTAATACCATGCCAATGCATCACCCTCTAAACAGACCATGGCAGCATGCCATTAATCTCAAAATAGCGCTCCGCGCGAAAAAGCTAGTCGTCTGGATTTTCCCCATCAAAAATAGGTAACTCCAACTTCCGAGGAAGTGAATCAAAAGTATGTTCTGACACCGACATTGAAGAAGATGTCGGAAAAGCTGCACTCTTCCCTTTGTCAACCGCACGACTTGATGCAAATAAAGGAGGAGCAATGTCAGTTGTAGACAAAGGAGCTGAAAAAGTCTGTTGCTGAAGCAACATATCAAAACGTGTTACCAAATCTTGAACGCCTCCTTCCAAAGACAAGATCTTCAAAAGTCCAACTGCTACCTTTTCTGGATTGAGTTGCTGAATCTCATTACGTAAGCCATCCATCTTCACACGAAATTCAGAATGCAGAGAAGTCAAGCGTTCTTTGAAACCCTCCACCTGTGATGCCACTTCCTTAGCTGTCACCATGGCCAAGGAAAGATAGGCTCTGATACCACTGATATGTCCTAGAAATTTCACACACAATTCTCAGACTAACAACATAAATTACACAACTCAAACGAAAAAGAAACTAGTATTCATTCAGAAGAAAGCATTAACAGTTGGTCGATTCTTCGAGAGACCGCCGGCTCTCCCAAACACTCACAACATTCTTCACTCCAAAAACATATCCTCCCCCATCCCCCAAAGACCCTTTTTATACTCTTCTGACAGCATAACTGACTCCCCCTATAAATGCCCAGCTAGCCAAGTTATAAATGCCCAACACTCTTCTTATTCCTAACTGACATAGCTATAAATGCCCCAAGACTCTTCTCATTCTCTTCAGCTATAAGTGCCCCAAGACTCTTCTCATTCCCTTCAGCTATAAATGCCCCAAGACTCTTCTTATTCCCTTCTGACTTCCACTATAAATTCCTAGCTGGTAAGCCCCATGTGTTCAATCATTTCCCCCCTTAACCGATTGCTGACCTGGCTTATGCTGCCCTTTCCTTCTCCTAGCATATGTAAGGTTAATTGGGGGCCTATCACATTATTGAAACCAAAGTGTACGAAACAATACTTATGGAACTGTAAATCTGGAAGAACTGCTACTGTGAGACTAATATCTGTTTGTTATTTGTTGAAGATTTATGGGTCAGTGACCATGAGCAGCATCCTTTCTCTATCAGTCTTCTTAGCGGTTGTTTGCATAAGGAACTTAACATGGGACTTCTCATATGAAGCACTGATTATTTTTATCATTTGCACATAATGGGTCTGTTTGCTAGCCAATTGAACGACCATTTTTAATTGTTTTATTATCAGTCATTTTTTGGACAGGTTATGTTATACAAATACAAATATGTAGAGTGCAAAATTTTGTATTTTGTATGTATTTATATTGTACATAATTGTATTTGTACTCCTTCCAAGCGGAGTCTCCAAAGAGCAAAATTGACAAGAGGTGAAAAAATACCAACTTATCCAGGAAAGCGAATGTTGCAAAAGAACATGAAAAATCAGAGAATCTCATTTGCCTAGGTAAATTAAAGTAATAAACAGGAAAAAAAAACATGGGCAATGCGCTTACTGAAAATGCAAGCACCCACACCCTTTCTTATTCTGGTTCTTATACTAATCTGACTGTTGAAAGCCAATAAGACATTAAATGAATTTACCAGACCTCAAACGTTAGTTTGATTCTACTTGGACAGATTAATGGGATTTACCAAACTCCCCATGCTAAATGTAAATAAACATCTCTTTCTTCCTTACTTGTGTAATTGGATTTCATAATCCCATTTTGCATTCCTCCGCAAAAGAAAATTAAAATGGGAAAAAGTGATCCTGATCCTTCTCTAAAAGACAGCATGCATGCAAAGCTTGAATCGTTTAATGTCTTTCAGGTTTTTAGAGAAAGAATCATGGGATACACCATTTGATTTGATTTGGTAATAACATACAAAGGCAATTACAACTACCCACACCCTTTTTAAGCTGACACCACTCAGGTGACATGGGTTGCAGAAAACAGAGCAAAATGAGGGAACATAGAATTTTTTAAAAATACAAATAGGTCACATGTTAACAGTTTTTAAGTCCATTGAGGTCAGCGTATGATATATTTAAGTCCATTTGAAAAGTAGGGTATGTTTAAATCAATTTCTAAAACTTCAAGATATCTTTAATTCTTTTGCCGTTTGACCCCACCCCACTATAAAATATTCCTGGCTACGCTGAAGTGTAAAGTTAAAGGTGATCTATAAGTATTTATCTGTATGAATATATATATATATATATATATATATATATATCATTTGAAGGGGCTATACAAGAGAGGTAACCCATAACCCTCCAATCTAGGTGCAGGCAGGATTGGATCCTAAGTCTCTGATATGATTAGGAAGAGACCTTATCAACCAGTTGGATGGCACCTTGCATTAATCTGTATGAATATTTTGATCATTGCATTTAGGGACAAGTGTGGTTTTGTTATTGTCTTAATCTATACTACTAATAAAAGAATGAATAGCCCCATTTTCTGGACTTTTCATTAGATATTTTTATCCCTTATCTAAGCAACATACAACGGACATAAAAAAAGGTATATATGTCCTTTATTCTCACTCCAAAAATTGTCCACTTATAACAGTTAAGAAACTATCCACTGTTCAAAAATTATCCATTTGTAACAATTAAAAAAATGCCCACTTATAACTGTTCAAAAACTATTCATGAATCATAAACAATTTTGTCTTGAAAATACTGTCACGTGCAAATGCATTACATATTTACTAGTTAATAGAAATGACATATTTAAATATTATCTCACACGTATTATTGACAAAGCAGTTCTTATATAAGGATTCAACTACAATGTTGAAAAGACGTGATAGCAAGAAAACTTATAACCAATCAATAGGCATTATAAAAATGATAATGAGGCCGGTTTTATCAAAATTAAGGGGGTTTCAATCGGTTAAAATCATTCCGGTATCATGTCTTTATGACATCATAAGTTTTCCCTTTTACACTTAATCGAAATCATTTCATTGTTCGGTGGTAAGATCAACATAAATCCCCCTGTAATGTGATATATATTTAAAAAAAATCATTTGATTGTTCCAGTTTATTACCTTTGACCTAACTATCGTTTAGAGTTTAAACCAAGAACAGATTTTTAACCACAAAAGTTGCAGACTTTTTTAACAAAAAGAGGGGTGGGACCGGCCAATCCAATGGGTCAAGAATGGTGGCTGGTCATAAGGTCAATAAAACAAAACCAAAGGAAAGGGAAAGAAAGTCATGACGGAAGCAATGACATCCCTTTTGGATTCATACGAAGAGAATAGAAATTTGTCACACAAAGCATGGACCATCACTCCAAGAATCACTCGCTCTCACAGCTTCCAACACCTTAGATTTGCTAACAATGGCGGATGAAGTGATTCTGTTGGATTTCTGGCCAAGCCCTTTTGGGATGAGGGCGAGAATTGCTTTGGCCGAGAAAGGGATCAAATATGAGTATAGGGATGAGGACCTAGAAAACAAGAGTCGTTTCCTTCTGCAGGTGAATCCTGTTCACAAGAAGATCCCTGTTTTGATTGACAATGGGAAGCCCATCTGCGAATCCCTCATTATTGTTCAGTACATCGATGAGGTCTGGAAGGATAAATGCCTATTAATGCCCTCCGATCCATACAAGCGTGCCCAAGCCAGGTTCTGGGCTGATTTTGTCGACAATAAGGTGGGTCTTCTTTACTTTTTTCTTTCTATATATCCTCTCCTTTTATGTTGTGGGTTTGTTTATTTATTAGGATTTTGTTTCTGAAGCAAACTTCCTGAGCATGAAATAACCTAAAAGAAATGAGGTGTAAAGCTCTCATTGTATAGGGTGTGGCAGTTTCTGATCCAACCCATCCATTCAAGATGCCTGTTGAATAGGTCAACTTAAAAGGGATTGGATTAGGTTGGGCCATTGGTACCCATTTGAGTGCACTTCAACCCATATCCATTAATTCCAACTTTCCAACTCAATCCATTCATTACCCACCAAAAGAGAAGACTATGAAGTCAAGTAGGTTTTAATTTGATATCTTCTTTTGCATGTATTCTCTAGTATTATGTTCTTCAGAGCTTGAAACAATGGGTATTTCATTTGGTAAATTTCTTAGTTATCAATGTTTAATTTTGCTATTATATTCTTAGCTAAAGATCATGAAATTTAGCTGGTTTCTTCCTTTGTTCTCCATTCTCAGATGAATAATATTCTAAAAATCTCTTCTCATTTGGGTTCCATCTATCCCTTTAATTATGTTTCAATTAAACTTGTTAGAATTTTGTGCTTGTGTCTTAACCACTTCATATATATATATATATATATTCATATTTATATACAGTTTTCCTTGTTTCTTCCACGTAGCTTTATCATTGTGGAAGGAGGGTTTGGTTTTCCAAAGCAGAAGACAAAGAGGAAGCATGTAAAGAGTTAATAGAGTGCTTAAAGCTGTTGGAAGGGGAGCTTGGAAACAAGCCTTACTTTGGGGGCGAGACTCTGGGCTTCATAGACGTGGCCCTTGTCCCCTTCAACAGCTGGTTCTGCTCCTATGAGACATGTGAGAACTTCAGTATTGAACCTCACTGCCCAAAGATTGTGGCTTGGGCGAAGCGGTGCATGGAGAAGGAGAGTGTGTCCAAGTCTTTCCCTGACCACCAAATGGTCTGTGACCTTGCTTTGCAATGGAAGAAGAAGCTCGGATTTGAGTAAACATGTGATGAGCATCACTCAGTCCGGCCTTGTAAGGAAGTCAAACAAAGCATTGATGAGCATTAGGAGAATTGTTGAGCAATCTATATTGTTATGATCTACTAGTTTAATTGGTTGTTGAAAGATTCTAGCTAGTGATGATTTTTCTATAAATCTTTATGTAACAATAAATTAAAAATTAATAGAATCTTGAATAACCAAGATCATCCCTGGTGTACAAAACCCTATTTTCAAAACTGAAATTAAAAAACATACTTGTGATGAAATTTGATCTACATTGGTGTAATTCTTTAATGCAACTTTGATTCAAATCTGTAGCTAGCCTCACAAGTGTTTTTCCTCCAAGAATGATTCCACACGAAGCAGCAAAATACAAATTTCCAAAAACCAAAATACTTCTTTAGATTCGATCCAAGATGGAAAGGGAAAGAGAAAAGGGGTGGGTGGCTCCAAGAATATGTAGCAAATTGTAATTAGGGTTAGGATCAAGGTTCAAAGTATCAACATGTATTGGCTGATACGTATCGCTCCGGGACCCCTCCTATACGTCCCTACAGTGGGTGTTTCGGGGGTCTGACTGGTTCAGGGGGTGGAGTCCTAAACCAACCCCTCTGAACCGGTTTTGAAAAAAAATAAAAAAATTAAAAAAAATTATCAAAACGCCCGATATTTTGAACTTTGGTTAGGATTAGCAGAAGAATGTGTTTTTTATAACCCTAGGGCCGCTCTTTTCTATCTTATATAGAGTTGTACACTTGTACTCCTTTTCATCTTGGGAGAACTTATCTCATAAAGTCTCTCTTAATTACATTTTGCTCCCCTTTAACTACAAACAAACCCCTACACTAAGACTCCTCTTAGTGTTTAGATGGAGTATTTGAGTTAGATTAGGAGTGAGAGTCTTTGTCCTTCTTTTTCTATAAATAGATGTAACTTTTCTATTTTAATTAATGCAATTTTATCATCCTTCTTTGATATTTTATGGTTGAACCGATCCCGACCCAGTTACTAATTCAAACAAAATCAAAAACTAAAACCATGCAACATAATCAGCTTGGTTGATTTAGTTCCATCAGATCGACCTAGGCCATTGACAGCTCTACTTATAACACTTATTGATATCTAACATTTAACCGATTGTTTTGTTCCTTCATAAGTAAGTTCAACTATGATGTATTCACCAATATTGTCTGCATATTGAATCCAATATCTCAACCAAATGCATTAAATTAAATTTGTTTAAAAAAAGTGTACTTTTACATTATCTGCACTAGTGGAGATTCATGCAATGCACGAGATTCGTTAAGGGAAAGTGAAACAATAGAAATTAAACCGGTAACTATTATAAGGAAGGAATGGAATGTTATTTAAAATAATTAATCTCTATTTTAGTAATTTGTTAAAAACTTAATTTAGTAATTTGAATTAATTATATTAATAATTTTTAACAAAAACAATAAATTACTACTAATCACTTAATAAATTTTTTTGTAAATATTACTCAAATATTAAAATAAATTTATTTGTTTTAATTTATTAATGATTAAATGTTAATTTTTTAAATATTACTTAAATATTAATGAATATATAAAATTTAAGTTGTAATCATGATTAAATTAATCTATAGATTAACATTTTAGTTTTAATTATTAAATTAATCTAAGCCCGAGATCAAGGTTGAAGACTTTGTGTTGGGCTTGGGTTGATACACAACCTGACCCAACCGCTCAAGTTAGCACCCCTAAGAGCAATATGACATTCATAATTGAATTAAACCAAACCAAGTACAACCCATGCATGCATTATTTATGGGTTTTTAACTATTTTAGATAAAAATTATTAATATTGAAGCTAAAGGAGATATGGGGCATGGGCTACCTCCATTGTGTATCCTAATGGACCAAAAGGATAAAGGATTTTGGTCCAGATTTTGATAGTGTACCAATAGTTTCTAAGGTTCCCTAACCTAGCTCGACCCACACTTCAGGTGTAATAATATTTGTTTGGGCCTGGGATAGGCACATGCGTGTTTGTGTTAATTATAAATCTATGATTTTTTTATAAATTAAAATCTTTATTTAATTTTAGTCTGTTATAAAAATTATAAAAAAACCTATTTTATATATGAATATAAAATTTGTTATCTAAATATATATGCATTAGGTCAAGCTTAGAGGTTGCTTACCTTGGGTCCTAGCTGCTAGTCAATGGACTTCAAAAGTCCAATACCTAATACTAAATCCGATTATATTAGATTTGGTTGTTAGAACTTACATTATTAATAGTTGGATCGGATGCATATTTAACCCCATTTACTCCGATTAAAAATAATTAGTTTTTGAAACCATTTTTTAATTTTTTTTAGCTATTTTAAACACAATAAGATGGTTGTGGATTAAATATGAATTCAATCCAAAATTCAACGTAATAATCGAATGTGGATGCGAATATAGATATTTCATAATTAGATGTAGATGCAGATGTAGTTGGACCCCGATTTGAATCCGGTCCATTTACAACCCTACTACTTGAATTATGTGTGGGCTTGGTGCAAATTTGAGCTAGACTTGGCTCAAAAGAGAATAGTTGTTGCTTGAGCCTAGAAATTTGTAGGTCTAGCCAGGTTAGGCTATCTTATAAATTTTCATCCCTAAGTAGGAGTCGACATTCTAATTAGGCCATTATCAGTTTTATTATTTTAATTTTTTGTAATTTTTAAATGAAATGAAATGTGTTGTTTTATCACTTTTAATAATGTTTACTTTAATTATTAATTTTTGTTATCTTATTAATATTAGTTACTTTTAAATAAAATTCAAATGTATTTTAATTTTTAATTATGAACTACTAATTTTTATCAATTTCTTAATTTTTAATAGTTGCTAGATAAAAACTTGCTAAATTGAATATAAAACAATTAACCAATTAAATAGAATTTGAATATAAAACAAATAAATTGAATATAGATGAAAGAAAAATTTTCTCTCTTTGGAACACAATAGGCTAATAATGGAAGAAACCTATAGAAATATGCTAAAATAGGTTAGGTGAAACCTATGTCCTAGAATTCTCTCTTTCTCTCATTATTTTTATGTGATTTAACTATTTTATGATGATTTTGTTAACTAATTTTTAAACTATTATTTGTCTACGTGTCAGACTAGCCCCAAGTCAACATTAAAGTATTAGGCCCAAGCTTGGCCCTAAAATTTGTGGGGAGTGGAGAGAAAATAAATAAAAAAGGAAAGAAAAAGAAAAAAAAAAGAAAAGGAAAAAAGAGTTCATGAATTTTAATCCATTTAATAAAGTAATTGAGAGGAGAAAAAAATTAGTTGGTGAGTTATTGGAGGAGAGAGAGTTAATGGAATGATTAATGAGGAGAGAAAATCAAAGGAGTTAATAAGAAAGAGAAGAGAAATTTAATGAGGAGATGTAGAAGTCTTAAACACTTAGGGTCTGTTTGGTTCACTTCTTGAACCGGCCTTGGAGTCGAAATCGAAATGGTCTATTCCCATAGCCTATTTGGTTCAGAAGGGAATTAGATTTCATGAGGCCCCAAATGGGGGAATGCCATTCCACTAGGTATAGAAATGGGATTCAAATTCCACCCAACCAAACAGTTGGAATTGGAATGGACCATCCCAATTCCAATTCCAAACCCTTATTCCCATAAACCAAAATGAGTCCTTACTTGAAAATAGTAAGAAAGCACAAAATAAATAAATAATAAAAGAAAAAAGGAGACCCATGTTGATATAGCACATCTTCTTGTTTTATTACACAGGGTAAATCATAAAAACCTCCCCTATAGTTCTGAAAAAACCTATTGTTTCCTCCCTTCCATCATCATCTCACTTTATTATCAAGAAAAAAAAACATTATTGTCTCCATAATAGACTTTGAAGTTACAAAATTGTCCTTATAACTTGTTAGGAAAACTTTCAATATAATCGAAATGCCAGATTTGCCTTGTTAGACTTCCAATCATAATAAGTTTACAAAATCAAATTACTTTACTCTTTTATCTAACCTATGGATTTTTTTAGTTAAAAATTAAAAGTTTTTTTTGGAATATTTTAGTAAATCTCTATCTGAATTGATAGACATAAAGGTAAAATGGGTATTTTAAAAAAAAATAATGCGTTGCGCAACATTTTCTAGTTGGGACAATGATGAAAAGGAGGTAACTGCAGGATTTTTCAAAACCACATAGAGGTTTTTGTTAAAATGAAACTTCAGGGAGGGTTTTATATTTTACCCTATTACATTACATATATGGATGTTCAGGAGGGAGCTGGAATGTTCTGTCTAGCTATTCCCTCCATACAAACTTTGTAACCTAATTTATGAGTTAAGTTATTACCATCCCTATTTATGTAGTTTACTTGGAGGTCAACAAAACTCTTCTAAGCTCCCAAAGTTCATCTCTATACATCTTATCAGACCAACTACATGTTCACAATATTTATTATATGTAAAGCATCAATTGTTGTGCTTTTGTTATATGACTCGTTGCTGCAATCACTCGAGAAAAGTTCTTCATTATAACAAATGAAATAACCACATTACTCTGTGATTCCCTTTAGGAACCATCAACAAATAGACAATGTTCAAAATGCTTGTTGGCTGTTGAATACACTCGAATTATGGGGTGCTCCTCATGCTGATGATGTTGAAGGAGATAATTATTAATTGTGTTAATAATTAACCCATATGGGATCAGATGTAGTGTTATCAAATAACTTCCTGTTTCTGACGTCCCATATGAGTCTAAATGCTATTACTATCTTTTGTAGCAGCTCTTCTTGCTCCCTTTTCGAGGTACTTAAAGGCAATGTCTCTTTCCATTTCTGAATGTGTAAATGGATTAGAACACATCTATCATTAACCCTGCTGAGATTCACATGAAGAGCTGTCAAAACAGCTCTTGCAAACGGGCATGATATGAAGATCTAGGTGTGTATAGAGATGTTTCAAGATGCTCTTGACAAAGGACACAAATGGTATTTGTATGCTGTATGAACTTGAGTTTGTCCTTTGTAGGGATCCCACCCCAATAAAGTTTCTACAAAAAGAGCTGAAATCTGAAAGGGACCTTCACCTTCCAATTTCCAAATACTCTTCCATGGTACTCTTTGAGATGAAGTAGATGGAGATTCTCTCGTAAAACATTTGGTTTCAAGAATGCTTCCACATGCAGTAAAAG